AAATAATTTTTAAAAGAAAAAATTTTCGAAAAAATTCGACGATTTTTCTAAGCCTATAGCCTTACTTTTTTGTCAAAAATCGACCCCTCTAAAATGTCGTTTTTTCTTTAAAAAAGGACTTTTCTCCTGAAACTGAGTTCAATTCTTGCTTTTTTTGATCGACACGAAGGCATAAAAACAGTTTTTAAAAGAAAAAATTTTCTAAAAAATTCGACGATTTTTCTAAGCCTATAGCCTTACTTTTTTGTCAAAAATCGACCCCTCTAAATTGTTGTTTTTTCTTCAAAAAAAGGACTTTTCTCCTGAAACTGAGTTCAATTCTTGCTTTTTCTGATCGACACGATAGCATAAAAATAATTTTTAAAAGAAAAAATTTTCGAAAAAATTCGACGATTTTTCTAAGCCTATAGCCTTACTTTTTTGTCAAAAATCGACCCCTCTAAAATGTCGTTTTTTCTTCAAAAAAAAGGCTTTTTTCCTGAAACTGAGTTCAATTCTTGCTTTTTCTGATCGACACGAAGGCCTAAAAACAGTTTTTAAAAGAAAAAATTTTCGAAAAAATTCGACGATTTTTCTAAGCCTATAGCCTTACTTTTTTGTCAAAAATCGACCCCTCTAAAATGTCGTTTTTTCTTGAAAATTAGGACTTTTCTCCTGAAACTGAGTTCAATTCTTGCTTTTTCTGATCGACACGAAGGCATAAAAACAATTTTTAAAAAAAAAAATTTTCGAAACAATTCGACGATTTTTCTAAGCCTATAGCCTTACTTTTTTGTCAAAAATCGACCCCTCTAAAATGTCGTTTTTTCTTTAAAAAAGGACTTTTCTCCTGAAACTGAGTTCAATTCTTGCTTTTTTTGATCGACACGAAGGCATAAAAACAATTTTTAAAAGAAAAAATTTTCTAAAAAATTCGACGATTTTTCTAAGCCTATAGCCTTACTTTTTTGTCAAAAATCGACCCCTCTAAAATGTTGTTTTTTCTTCGAAAAAAGGACTTTTTTCCTGAAACTGAGTTCAATTCTTGCTTTTTCTGATCGACACGAAGGCATAAAAACAATTTTTAAAAGAAAAAATTTTCGAAACAATTCGACGATTTTTCTAAGCCTATAGCCTTACTTTTTTATCAAAAATCGACCCCTCTATAATGTCGTTTTTTCTTCGAAAAAAGGACTTTTTTCCTGAAACTGAGTTCAATTCTTGCTTTTTCTGATCGACACGAAGGCAAAAAAACAGTTTTTAAAAGAAAAAATTTTCGAAACAATTCGACGATTTTTCTAAGCCTATAGCCTTACTTTTTTGTCAAAAATCGACCCCTCTAAAATGTCGTTTTTTCTTCAAAAAAAAGGCTTTTTTCCTGAAACTGAGTTCAATTCTTGCTTTTTCTGATCGACACGAAGGCCTAAAAACAGTTTTTAAAAGAAAAAATTTTCGAAAAAATTCGACGATTTTTCTAAGCCTATAGCCTTACTTTTTTGTCAAAAATCGACCCCTCTAAAATGTCGTTTTTTCTTCAAAAAAAGGACTTTTTTCCTGAAACTGAGTTCAATTCTTGCTTTTTCTGATCGACACGAAGGCATAAAAACAGTTTTTAAAAGAAAAAATTTTCGAAAAAATTCGACGATTTTTCTAAGCCTATAGCCTTACTTTTTTATCAAAAATCGACCCCTCTATAATGTCGTTTTTTCTTCAAAAAAAGGACTTTTTTCCTGAAACTGAGTTCAATTCTGGCTTTTTCTGATCGACACAAAGGCATAAAAACAGTTTTTAAAAGAAAAAAATTTCGAAAAAATTCGACGATTTTTCTAAGCCTATAGCCTTACTTTTTTATCAAAAATCGACCCCTCTATAATGTCGTTTTTTCTTCAAAAAAAGGACTTTTCTCCTGAAACTGAGTTCAATTCTTGCTTTTTCTGATCAACCTTAAACTATAAAAACAGTTTTTAAAAGAAAACATTTTCGAAAAAATTCGACGATTTTTCTAAGCCTATAGCCTTACTTTTTTGTCAAAAATCGACCCCTCTAAAATGTCGTTTTTCCTTCAAAAAAATTACTTTTCTCCTGAAACTGAGTACAATTCTTGCTTTTTCTGATCGACACGAAGGCATAAAAACAGTTTTTAAAAGAAAAAATTTTCGAAAAAATTCGACGATTTTTCTAAGCCTATAGCCTTACTTTTTTGTCAAAAATCGACCCCTCTAAAATGTCGTTTTTTCTTCACAAAAAGGACTTTTCTCCTGAAACTGAGTTCAATTCTTGCTTTTTCTGATCGACACGAAAGCATAAAAACAGTTTTTGAAAGAAAATTTTTCCAAAAAATTCGACGATTTTTCTAAGCCTATAGCCTTACTTTTTTATCAAAAATCGACCCCTCTATAATGTCGTTTTTTCTTCAAAAAAAGGACTTTTCTCCTGAAACTGAGTTCAATTCTTGCTTTTTCTGATCGACACAAAGGCATAAAAACAGTTTTTAAAAGAAAAAATTTTCGAAAAAATTCGACGATTTTTCTAAGCCTATAGCCTTACTTTTTTGTCAAAAATCGACCCCTCTAAAATGTCGTTTTTTCTTCAAAAAAAGGACTTTTCTCCTGAAACTGAGTTCAATTCTTGCTTTTTCTGATCGACACGAAGGCATAAAAACAGTTTTTAAAAGAAAAAATTTTCGAAAAAATTCGACGATTTTTCTAAGCCTATAGCCTCTTGCTTTTTCTGATCGACACGAAGGCATAAAAACAGTTTTTAAAAGAAAAAATTTTCGAAAAAATTCGACGATTTTTTAAGCCTATAGCCTTACTTTTTTATCAAAAAACGACCCCTCTAAAATGTCGTTTTTTCTTAAAAATTTTCGAAAAAATTCGACGATTTTTCTAAGCCTATAGCCTTACTTTTTTATCAAAAATCGACCCCTCTAAAATGTCGTTTTTTCTTCAAAAAAAGGACTTTTCTCCTGAAACTGAGTTCAATTCTTGCTTTTTCTGATCGACACGAAGGCATAAAAACAGTTTTTAAAAGAAAAAATTTTCGAAAAAATTCGACGATTTTTCTAAGCCTATTTCCTTACTTTTTTGTCAAAAATCGACCCCTCTAAAATGTCGTTTTTTCTTCAAAAAAAGGACTTTTCTCCTGAAACTGAGTTCAATTCTTGCTTTTTCTGATCGACACGAAGGCATAAAAACAGTTTTTAAAGAAAAAATTTTCGAAAAAATTCGACGATTTTTCTAAGCCTATAGCCTTACTTTTTTGTCAAAAATCGACCCCTCTAAAATGTCGTTTTTTCTTCAAAAAAAGGACTTTTCTCCTGAAACTGAGTTCAATTCTTGCTTTTTCTGATCGACACGAAGGCATAAAACAGTTTTTAAAAGAAAAAATTTTCGAAAAAATTCGACGATTTTTCTAAGCCTATAGCCTTACTTTTTTATCAAAAATCGACCCCTCTAAAATGTCGTTTTTTCTTCAAAAAAAGGACTTTTCTCCTGAAACTGAGTTTCTCCTGAAACTGAGTTCAATTCTTGCTTTTTCTGATCGACACGAAGGCATAAAAACAGTTTTTAAAAGAAAAAATTTTCGAAAAAATTCGACGATTTTTCTAAGCCTATAGCCTTACTTTTTTGTCAAAAATCGACCCCTCTAAAATGTCGTTTTTTCTTCAAAAAAAGGACTTTTCTCCTGAAACTGAGTTCAATTCTTGCTTTTTCTGATCGACACGAAGGCATAAAAACAGTTTTTAAAAGAAAAATTTTTCGAAAAAATTCGACGATTTTTCTAAGCCTATAGCCTTACTTTTTTGTCAAAAATCGACCCCTCTAAAATGTCGTTTTTTCTTCAAAAAAAGGACTTTTCTCCTGAAACTGAGTTCAATTCTTGCTTTTTCTGATCGACACGAAGGCATAAAAACAGTTTTTAAAAGAAAAAATTTTCGAAAAAATTCGACGATTTTTCTAAGCCTATAGCCTTACTTTTTTGTCAAAAATCGACCCCTCTAAAATGTCGTTTTTTCTTCAAAAAAAGGACTTTTCTCCTGAAACTGAGTTCAATTCTTGCTTTTTCTGATCGACACGAAGGCATAAAAACAGTTTTTAAAAGAAAAATTTTTCGAAAAAATTCGACGATTTTTCTAAGCCTATAGCCTTACTTTTTTGTCAAAAATCGACCCCTCTAAAATGTTGTTTTTTCTTCAAAATAACGACTTTTTTCCTGAAACTGAGTTCGAATCTTGCTTTTTCTGATCAACCTTAAACTATAAAAACAGTTTTTGAAAGAAAAAATTTTCGAAAAAATTGGACGATTTTCCTAAGCCTATAGCCTTACTTTTTTATCAAAAATCGACCCCTCTGAAATGTCGTTTTTTCTTCAAAATAACGACTTTTTTCCGGAATTTTTTTCCGATTCTTGCTTTTTCTGATCAAAATTCGTACAGGGAACTCACATTAAAGGCACCATTTGCCGTCACAGCGCGTTTATGATCGACAAAAGATTGATAACCAGCTGATTGGTTACGTAGCAATAGGCCTATTGTGTAGCCCAACCAATGGGAAACTCAAATGGCTAGCCAAATTGGTCGGGACATAGTGTCATTAACGTTCACAGAACAGACAATACAGTACTTTGAACAAAGAAAAACAGTTTGTTATAATTTGAAACAAACCAAATGATTCTTATCAACTCGTAATTTTCATTTACAGAATATAGGGAAAAATTTGATTTAAACTTAATATATCTTACATAAACTTAAAACTAGATAACGCGAACATATTCTCGTAACGGACAAATGTTGACCAAATTGACACTAAACCTTAGTAGATAGAAGAAAACACCCTTGATAACACGTGTTTATGTTAAAAGTGCTATGATTATCTGGGTTTTCCAGGGGGTAGGATGACTAATGAAGCTAAGATGTTCTGTATACTTGGGGTTGGTAGTAAACTGGCTTTAGTTGTCCTCCAACAGCCGGATAGCGTGGCAATGATGAAGCACCACAAGGATTTCTTTCGAGACTTGAAGTTCGAAGATTATCAAAACATTTCATGGTGTCGTTGGACTGTTTATGAGGAACATCGCAATTAAAAGCTAGGCCAATGTGGACAGGGAAAAAAGAGACACTAAAATCGAAAAAGGCAAACCTTGATAATTGTGATTGGCTAATAAATAATTTATGGTTTGTAGATAGGTGAGGAAATGCATTATGGGATTTAGGCCTAACAGCTTTTTCTTCGATTCGAACAAGATTACTTAACAAACCAGAGATAAAACACACTTAATTATCTTCTATTTCCAATGTTTCCAGAGTAAACCATACTTAAGTTAAGAAAACGATAGTAAACTAGAGTAAACAACAGTAAACCTATGTAAACTATAGTTATTCATAATAAACCAGAACGAACTATAGTTAACTATTCAAAACCATAGTTAATCAAAGGAAAACTATAGTTTAAACAGACATCTTTCACTAACCACAGGGCAAGTTGGGCTATATTGATGAACAAATGGTAATTTGGAATAAAGGTACAAGTTAACTTCAAGCTTTTGGTTCTTTTTTACTACTAATCTTCAGAAGCTAGGGAATCGTCTTGAGTTAAGATTTATTCTAAAGAGAAACATGCATTATGGGATTGATATGACGTAAGTAGACCACGCAAAAGACAGTCATAAAAAGGATTATTGTCAGTGACATAAAGTTCAATAAATGATGGTTGTGATTGCATTGTTAAGTTTATTTATCCTAAAACAGATTAATCGAGTATTGTTAACTATTTCACGATTTGTTAGATCTAGTTTTGGATTAGTAAACGAAGATTTTATACAGATTTGATTAGTAAACCTAGATTGAATCCAGACTCAAAGCAGTTGAATTCAAATCAACTGTTGCCTGGCTTTTAAAGGCTGGTTCATCAAAATACTTTGAATAGCACCTTTGCACGTGCAGAATTAAGTAAAATCTTAGAAGGTTGGGGTATATTGATCGGAAGGAGGCTACAATAATGTTTTGCATATACAAGATTTAGTTAAGTTATAACAGGAGATGAGAATCGCTAACTTAATCTAATTAAAACTTTAGCAATGGTCCACCAGACACCGGATTAACTTTCATAATACTCTCACCAAACAATATACTAAAATTACCTAAATCCTCTGTGAAAGACAGCATCACTACTTTACAGTAAAACATTTAGATATGCAGACATAAATATAAGTCTCTTGATTTGTGTGTTAAGCATCTCAAATGAGAATAATAAGTCGATAAAAGCCAAACGCCAGTGTCAATTAAATCTAACCTTTGCACCCTTGACCTACTACGTCTAGGATCTGACCCTTGACCCAGAACGGTGAACTTTGACCTCTTTAAAGTTATTGTCTTCACTGCTCAATGCTAATTTCAAGATAACCGCAAAAACCCCCGGCAAAAGATAACCAGCCACCAGACATTGAAGTCAATTTTTCAAATCGCATCTCATCACTGTTAAGAAATCAATGAGTGAAAATCGCCGTGTCAACGAGGCCAGAAGTGCCTTCCAGGGGGTCAGGATAGCCTAAAAAAGAACAGCCTGTAGTAAAAATAACACGCCGTTAGTAAGATCTATTTAAACTCGTGATGTTGCTACCACCACGATTTTGACAAGTTAAATTTGTATAAAGAATATACGACCAATTAAAGGCCCAAAGATTCAAATAGGCGCCCAGTGTGAATAGTTGTCTATCCCAAAACAAACAAATGCTTAACGCCCAGGGCGCTTAATCAGTCATTTACGGTTTATTGCTAGCTATTCATATGATCAGAATCAAAACAGATGAATATCAACAAGAAGAAATCTAGTCTAACATCTGACACATCTTTAAACACATCAGTCAATCCCTTATTCCCACTTTTTCTTCAATTACGAAAATTTTGAAAGATTCTTCAGAATGATTTAATTATCAATCAAATATTTAAAACATTTTAAAAGCTCAAAAGAAAAGCTTGTCTCTAGCCAATTCTTTCGTAACCACCAATTTAAAAGAAGCATTTTTCAAATTTCCCAATAATTCTGTTTATAAGTTTGCACCCTGTCCTATCAACATTTCTAGCTTTTTTCAAGAATTATCCTTATCGAAATAAGATTTAAATTAAACATTGTAAGACTGGCCAACTAACCTCGTCTTGAATTTGAAGATGGAGCTCTTCGATTGCCTCGTTTTGATCCTTCTGATAATGCCCCCATTGCCATTCGCTTGTCAGGGGAATCCTCTCCTATCTTTTCTTCTTCTCTTCTTTTTAGGCAAGCTGCTTTCGGATTCAAGTTCCTCTCTGCGTTAAAACGAAAAGCGGTATTTGAAAGAAAAATGACGGAAATCGGTAGTTCTGATTGGCTGAAATACTCTGTCAATCATTCAACGACCAATCCCATGATGACTTGTGACCTGACCCAATCATTATTGATACGAAGTTTCTAGTTGTACACATGTGTTGGGACATTCAGTGCTTTCATTGATTTTTGAAGTAGAAGGATCATATTTAAAAGAAGGCGTCGATAAGTTTACTAAAGTTTGTGCAGTCTTGATAAAGTGAGAGTGAAAGTAGGCTGTGAAGGTTTGGTGAGTCACTTTCGCCGGTTGCCGGCTTCTATTAAAATACCCGGACATTAAATTTGAATGCCCATTTTGAGTGAAAGACCTGGGCAAAAATGTCGGTGCTAAGATAATTGGCAGTTCATTTAAAATCAGGCATACACTAATTCACCAAGTTAATAACTGGTTAAAAAGTTGCCTGCATAAAATCGTAACAACGTAGTTTCATTGGAAAATGAACAAATCTATTTCAGGTAGAAGAGGAAGTGCTTGGAGCTCTCCACACTTAACTTTACTTTCAAGACAATGTACAGAACAAGTGGCCAATCAAAAAGCGTCTGGGCGTTATCGCGCTTACTGATTGGCTAATTGTCGATTGACAGATGGCTCAACTACTTTTGAATCGGTAATTTGCCTTAAGGCGTTAAATGCATTTCAAAGTATTTTAGGAGATCATGTTATGTGTCTATTGCATAATGTCTTGCATACCATATTTCAACTGCCTAAATTCTTGAGAAAGAATCTCATTTTTAGAAAGAGAACCATATCAATCACAGTAGTTACCCCCGTTTAGGATATGAGAATATATGCTTAGGCCATATAGCTTTGGAGAGTTTATACGGGTGTAATGTAGGCAACAGTTACCTCGTACTTGTCCTTCAAGACTCTGGATAACTGATACAGCTTGATGAATCACCATGAGCTGTAAAGGAAAAGGAGGCTTAATCAAAATGGTATTCAAACAAAATGGCTCGTAGATAAACTGGTGTTCCAGATAAACAAAATGGCAGGGGAAGTGGCTATTAAACAATTGTTGATGTTGAAAGCCAAAACACTGCACATATAAAACATTACATTGTACCTAGCGGTACAACATGGCCTACATAAAAATAGAGATTTACAAAAATGGGCATTAGAAACAAAATGGTAGACTAAACATAACAGGTGATGTCAAACCAAACAAAAGTGTGAGTAGAAACAAAACTGCTGATTTAAAAACATCAATAATGGACATTGAAAGAATAAAGAATGGGCAGAACATAGCAAACGAAACAAAAACAAAATACTAGCGTATAACATTTTGCAAAAGTTGTAAAAAATACATGGCAGGTAAAGGGAATGAAACTTTAGATCAAACACATTTGAAACTACAGATAAAAGATATTTGAAAAGGTAGATGAAACACGCTCAAACTGCAGATCAAACACGTTTGAAACTGCAGGTGAAACATATTTGAAAAGGTAGATGAAACACGTTCAAACTGCAGATGAAAAATGTTTCAAACCGCAGGTGAATCAAATAAACACGTTCAAACTGCAGATGAAAAATGTTTCAAACCGCAGGTGAATCAAATAAACACGTTTGAAACTGCAGAATAAGGGGCTTGAAACATTTGATTTAACATGTTTGAACAGGAGATGAAACATATCTAAAATAATAAATGAAGCAAATTTGGAACTGGCTATAAAACATGCGAACACTTTTTTCTGAAACACACTTGAAACTGTAGAAACACAAAAATGGTTAATCAAACAATTTAAACAAAGGTACATGGCTTTGATTCAAGCTTACTTTCAACTTATGTTTGATAGTGGGTGAACACAACTAACCTTTGTTTGTGGGTGAACAGAACTCACCTTTGTTTGAGGTTTCTCTGTTTTCAGGTGCAAACTACACATTCTACCGAGTTCTTTGAAAGCCTCATTAATATCTCTAACGCGTAACCTAGAAAAATGAACATAAAACTCAACAACACGTTTTGAAATTTGTGTAGTAAGCTCTCGGAAAACTCGAATTCCTTAAGCTTGTCTGAAACACTTAAGATCATTTTTCAGACCTTAAGCTACACTAAGGCCATTTAATATGACAAAGGCACTTCTACATTACACTTAAAAACACTAAAATCTAATCTAGGATTTGAACATCTTTTAGTCTGTAAATATAATGTTTTTTCTGTTGACTTAAAAGTGATTTTTCGTTCACATTCTGAGGCATGTTACAAAGTCCTATAACGTTTTGAGGCATGTTACAAAGTACTGATAAAAATGTCATGCCTGAAAGTTTGTTAGCGTTTCAGAACGCATTTTTACTTAACATAACAACAAATATGTAATCAATAAAACGCATATTATCATTTAAACCATGCTCCAAAATAATGGCTGACTGTAGTCTTATAGTTGAATTGAATTGTTTGACGTAAAGAATAATTCAATTCAATGTTATACTTCAACACATAACGAAACAAGCAACAACGGAAATGGCTGAATTGAATAGTACCTCATAAGGCCCAAGTTTTACAAAGCGGCTCACTCTTAATTGTTATGAAGCTCATTCTAAATTACAAATCTACCCCCTTGCTATCATAATAATAATCTAGACATTAAATACAAACAGTTTTATTTCAGGGGGTAGAATGAGCTAAATGCTCCTTCATAGTGGCTTGGTTGGGCTAGGAACTGCGAATGGACAAATACCAAGCGCCCCATTTTTAAAATCAGCAAGAGAGAGACTTCTGTCTCATATTTTCTTTGAAAAGACGGAATATTGCGCAGGGGCACACGCACGCCTAAACCATGCCACTGCGAGGGAGGTTTTTCAATTTCAGAATGTAAATTTGACGAACCTCTCTCTTGCGTTGTTTGCTGATCTGAAATATAATGCGATCGCATTTACTCATTCGACCCCCTGATCGAGAAATCGTTTTAAATTGCTAATCATTTCGACATTAACGATGGTTTAGAGATGAGACGGGGGTTTTAGCACCGAGGGAAGCTAAGGGATTCTCTTCACGTGAAAAATGTAAGTAAGTGGAGGCGCGAAGGGTTGGGCTAAAACATTTTCAATACCGATGGGACAACGTTTAATGGGGTTAGAGGGGTAATTTATAAGGGGTAAAGAAGAAGAGGTGCAACTGGGAAAGTGGGGATTGAGGGAGAACATGAAACTGGGGGTTAAGGGGCAACACTTGAAATAGGATGACATAAAATTTTAGAAAACATGAAAGTGCATTGATTTAAGACAAACATAGAGAAAGTGGGGAACATACTTACAGAAAGGTGGGGGAAGAGAGGCGGCGAAATAAAAATGGAATAAGGAGCAATTTTACACAAACAATTATATTGACTAATACCACGGCCGGAAGACTTGGCTGATAATTGTAAACAGTCGAGAGGGAAGAATTTTGAAGCTTTTGGTATCTTCCCCGTAGCTTCTTTTTATTCATTCTTCTTTGTCCTTTTATTTTCTCTGTTATTTCTAACAAACCTTGACAATACTGTTCATTCGAGTCACTCAATAGAAATAAAACCACTCGCCGTCTAATTCCCGCAGAAATTCACAGTATATATGCAACATAAACATAAACGCAGGAAAACCTCACCTTTCCCGCGCATTATTAGCAAATCTGCGTTCCTGCTCCCTAACGACCTTTTTCTCGCCGTCTCTAGGTTCGTCATCTCCGAGGCGATCTCCTCCGCTGCCGTCACTATCAACGCTTTGCACACTTGCCGGCTGTGTCGACTGTTTTCTGTCAACAATTTGTATGTCGGCTTTTGCTGGCCTCTTTCTCGATTTGCCTTCTTTTGCTTTAGACGGTTTGGAGTCAGCTGAAAAGGAGACTATAATAAACAATCGAACTTAAGTAAAGTTTTAAAGTTGACGGATTGACTAACAGCAGGTACGAAGACTCAAAGCTTAGCCCTAATACAGAATCAAAGCCTGTCTACAATGAAACATTTTCCACGATAAAAATTGATAAAAAGAGTGGTTCTTTCTATGGAAGGTCTATTATTTATAAAAATAACTCAGAACTTTTAGATAACAAAATTCTTCTCTTTTCACAACAAGGCCTGTTTAGGCCAATCGAATATTCTAAAATGTAAACTTTGAATCTTTTTACTTGAAACGAATTCAGCTCTTGTCAACTTGAACGAACGATAATTTAAATATTGACGATTCTATCATCCAAAAGTTGGAATTGTCAACATTTCGAGTCTTCGACTATTCTAACTTTCCATAATTTTCAGAATTTGCCTTGAATATTTGAAATTTTGCACACTAACTGTGGCTTTAAACATGACAGCATTTTTTACTACCATAAATTTCAACATAATTGCGTTTTCAAATATTTTGAATTTACAGCCTAGGCCAACTCACTTGATTCGCTTTGGTTGTCATTGGATACCAATGAGCTGTTTGAGAGAATATTGCTAGTAGCCTCGATGTCGTTGTCACTTGCAATCACTGGCTGGCTCTGAAAGAGGTTGGGAAAATATGTCAGCTGAAAAGTATTTAAATTAAAAGAGCTCGAAGTTGGAAAATTGATTAATACGCGAATTAAATGTATGAACAGAAGAAACAATCACAAAGTAAAATGCTTGGATCTTTTAACATGCTGACATCTTCAAGGAGAAATCCATTGCCAACAAACTCACCTGTAATGCTTCGGTCATTCCCTGTGGGTATGCAGCGGCTGGGTATCCCATAGGTGGCATCCCCCGCATTGTTGGGTTTTCTGCATGACTTTTCAGAACCCAAATTGCATCATCTAGGCGTTCTTCCATCCGACTCTGGAATAAATTATCATTCATTTACATTGGATGAATAAATTAGGCTCATATTCTGATGGCTTAACATAAACAAAGTTTGTTTGGTCTACGATAGGACACTAAGTTTCGCGCTTAATGCGGTCATCAGGCATTTCTTATGCTTATTACCAGACTATTTACGCGCAAGCAACATTTACTGTAGACGATTACTAATGTTAACAGGTGCTGTTATAGAACTCGATGCCGTATAGACAGAACTGTAAACATTGGTGTATAGAACAGAACAGTTCTAATGTGCAGTTCCATGTTTCATGCTTAGCTGCACATTATCCCCCCCCCCCCCCCCCAAGTGACGCCCCTGAATGTGATCACCAGTGAAAAGGGCGAACAAATAAAATATTTACGTATTTAGCAGATCGGCTAATGAATTTAACAGTTAACAAGTCTGTTCTAAATTGTTTCATGTCATATAACTGAGTCATACACGCTTTCAGTGTACAGGACAGGACGGTTGAGAGTTGTAGCCAGTAGCATTGTTAAAAAGAACATTTTATTTTCTTTCATGATTGACTGATTCTATTTGAATTGTTTAAATTTCATTTCCTTTTTTATGGTTGACTGATATCATTAACTTTTTTATTTTATTTCATTTTTTTTATAAGATGATTTTATCAATAAATGATGATTTTATTTGATGCTCAAATAAATTGTGTATTTACCAATGTGTGTAGATTGTCATATGGCGGAGAATGCGTTTGGCCTTGGGGAACCCAGGCATTTCCTGAAGGAGGAGCAGCAGAAACTAGAAAAGAAAAAAAGAGATCAATTAGCTGGTCTAAGCTCCTTGAAAAACGAAACTACGCGAAAATAAAATTGATAATTTAAGTTGCGGAAAGCAAAATCTAAAAATAGCCATGAAAAAAGCAAACATTCTGAAACATAATTAAACTTTTTGGCTGACACTCTTCAGAGCATAAAACGACAGAACACAGATCCAAAGCTAGGAAACATATGTACCAAGTTGTGGATTGAAATAGGCCAATCAGAAACGTGGGCGAGTGGCCAATAAAATTGGTCTTCAAATCAATCGTAGATACTATGAGCGCAGAATATGTGGTCTTAACACATTGAAAAAGGCTAATTAACTCAACAAAATTAAAGTATCACGCCTAAATTCCGCCCTGTTTTTATTCTTTTATGAGCAAAGGGTTTCCAAAGCCCGATAAATTGTACTAAGGTAGGATAGATCACCCATTACCCCCTGGATGCTATCACATATGCAGTAAAAACTTACCAGCCAAAGCCCGGTCGCTGATCAGCGGCGGGGGTGATGCGACAGGAGTTGACGGGTTTGACGAGTAGCTTGGGTTCGAATGTGTGTCGGTTGAATACATCTAGAAAATATTGCAAAATGAATCAATGGTCCATCAACACCGGATTGCACGAAAGGCAAATGTGACTATAGTAAAAAATACTGTTGAATAATGAAAACTTGGAAATCATGAGCTGAGGTTCAAAGAGTTGGTGAATAAGGTAGTTGAAATAAAATCGATTGAAGTGGTTACGTACTGAAGCCAGGGCTTTTCCGAGGGCATCTGCAGTTTGTGTTCCCCCCGAGCCAAGTCTTGATGTAGGGACTAAAAGAAAAATAACAGAAAAATAAACAATTAAGGATAAAGAATATTGATACTTAAAGCATGTCCATATTCAACAAAACAATTTGCGTGTTCAAAAAATTCTTCTTACAGCGTGAACAATTGACTCATAATCCGACTTCGAGGTCTGGGCACGAGTTTAAGTGTTTCTCCTTCACAACAACAGCATGCCGGTTGCGCAAGAGCCTTTAATGTTTAGCAGAAGTAAACGAAGGCGTCGATAAATGAACTTACCGCCATTAATCGGAGGTGACATTGATGTGTACATGTAGGGTGATGAAGGTTGTACTTGTGTTGAGTTCTAAGAAAAAACAAATATTGATTAACAAAGGTATAAGGGAATGCCTACACAGGGAAGTATTTTCAACAGAGCAAAATGTGTTAAAGGCATTGAGTCATGGTTAGCAGGCCTTTTCCTATAGAGGGTCATTTGTCTTTCAAATCAGATGTATAGTTTGATGTGGTTTTATAGTTCGATGTGGTATCGATTAATGATGCGATCGAGGTATGTTGATGTGATATCGTTATCCGTCGTTGACAACTTGCTATTGACAGGAGCTGTTTTGTAGATCAGTACGAGGCAAACCCATGTGATCAGTGACAGTCCCACCAATAGAATTGCAGCATGATAGTCATGACTCAGCGTTTTTGGTTTACCCTCTCCTTTAATGATGACTCAATGCTTTTAACTGGACCAATACACTTTGTATGGGTTTTTAGAATTACACAGAGTAACAAAGAGTTACAAATTGTTAACCAAATAAATTCGCTATCAATATTCAATTAACTTCTAGTAACAGACAGATAAACAAAAACAACCTAACGCTCACATTGCGCATATGGATATTGAGTAGTTAATTGAGAGTAACACAGTGTAACAACGAGTTACACAGAGTTAACTGAATTATTCACTACGCATAGGCATACCATTTCTGCTTGAATACTTGAGTAACCAGATGGTACGGTTGTCCCTGGCTGGGTCCTGTTACTGGTGATATGATGTCCCCACGGGTCCGGAGAGCCATGGTCTAAAAATAAGAAACATGTTGAAATAGCAGCCAAAGTGCGGACAAAAAATCTGTTGTAAACGAAATGTCCTTCTATGCAAAAAAATGACAAAGTTTCTGGACACTTAGAAAGAGTTTCATGGTATTGTATTGTATTGTATTGTATTGTATTGTATTGTATTGTATTGTAGTGTATCGTATTGTATCGTATCGTATCGTATCGTATCGTATCGTATCGTATCGTATCGTATCGTATCGTATCGTATCGTATCGTATCGTATCGTATCGTATCGTATCGTATCGTACTGTTTTGTATGTATTATACTGTATAAAATTATATTCGATACTGTATTGTATGGTATAGAATAACGTTGTATAATTCAGTATTATTTGAATAGTTTAGTACAATCTACAATAACACATTGTAGAAAAGCTTAATATAGCATAGTGTAATAAAGAAAAGTATAATTTAGTTTATTACAGTATCGTATTATATTGTCTGCCATCATATAGTACTGGATTGTAAAAATTCCACGTATTAATAACGCTGGCCTGTACTGAGACTGTTCAAACCAGGCTCTAAACAAGACTAGTTAGCCTTGATAAACACCAGTGTATCTAATATCGCTATACGAGTGTTATGAATCACAAAATAATTAAAATCTTTGAAACCAGAGCGCGATCAATGCAGCCCTGACTCCGGTGGTATGGTTTGCACAGACGTTTTCTCGATTATTAATCTGTATTAATATTGGAGTATAATCGCATAATTTAAAAAACATGATTTCTTAGCCATGTTTCATTTGCAGATTACTGTCTGATCCCAATCATGAGAAGGCAGTATTAACAAGGTTAATCGGATAAGCATGGATAGAGTCAACGGCCATTATAAATTCAGATTGAACTTTTTACGTCAATACAAAGGCAACGACTGAACCTCTCGCATATTTCGAATGGACAACATGCTGATTCACATTTCAGTATTTTGACCAACCCAGGGTGGCATTTGACTGATCCGTGATCAAGGACGCTGGAACACATTTTGGGGTGAGGGGGGTCTTGACAAAGAAGCAAATTTTCATGATAGTTTTTCTGCCATTATCCTCAAAGACCGAGATACAACTTTTTGTTTGGGGGGGGGGCAGCCCTGATAAATAGGTGACAGAACAGCCATATTTCGCAAGATAAAAGAAGTCTACTTATGCTACTTAAGTTCTTTTGGGGGGCCAAGCCCCCCGGCCCCCCGTAACTCGGTCCTTGATTACCCTTGATGCGACAACACCAATATCATACCTCGGCAAAGAAAGGGGCGGGCTACAGCCCCTAGCTCCGGTGTGTCTGGTGATAGCAAAAGACTCTCAAACTTAGCTGCTTCACCGAAGCATTAATCGGCAGCATGTATTTTAACCCAACACCTACCCCTCTCCTTCACTAAAAATTTGATATGTAGATATTTTAAAACCGCGATAGAAACATTGAATGGGGGGTGGGGATGTGGGGGCTGGGTACAACAGGGTTGATGGGGTTGGGGATCCAATGCTAAAGAAACACCTTTTTATGGCACGTCTTCACGTCCACAATTGGCTCCATTGTTATGAAATACAATTTCACTTATTTCTTGCAAAATAGGTGGACAATGTCCACATAGGACTAATTAGGGGTATTCAATCCATACCGTCTTGATGTCATGAAGTGCTTTTGTAAAGAAAAAGTTCATTTGTTGGGGAAAGGGGATTGGAAAGATTGCTGTACGAAGGGGTATGCGAGAAATACGGGGGCTGAAAAGAAGAAAGGGTATGCAGATGGAGGCGAAAAAAGTATGGCTTGGTATATATATGCGGGGACTAGAATGAGAAAGAAGGAAGGAGTTGAGAATAAATCGATTTATACGGAATATGATTAGTTTAAAGGATGTGGGTGAGAATTGGGGTGAGAATGGGAAAAGGGTTGGATTTTGAGGACAAGGTATTTCATAGGTAGAGAGGGCTAATTACCACGCCGACTAAAATCGTCTTGTACAAATTAGGTTCTGAAAATGTCCAAATATCTGAAAATTGAACTTACTCCTGGCTTGCGGTTGATGTACAGCTTTATTTTTTAGGGGAAGGGGGGAGGGGTAAATTGGAAGTACTTTCTGAATACAAAAACACATTCTCATACACTGTTGGGAGGGAGCATTTCAATTGTATCGATAGAAAAAACACCTGTGAGTTCACACCACCCCCCTCCCCCTTTTCTCTTCAATCTGATTCTTCAAGGGTTATCTTATATTGGGTGTTTGGAGGGGGGTTGGAGAGGGGTGGTTTGTTGATGCTATAAAAACCTCCCTTTCTTGAAAGCTACAGACTGCAAACCTGCAAGTTATAGCTTTATCTTAATAATGAGAAGAACAACTGGAGAGTCAATGCTGTCTGAATATATTTTTGAGCAGACATCTCATCGAAATTGTAATAATATAACAATATTAATAACACAAGTTGTCATTTTTTAGACAGAGGGTTAAAGGCTAATTGCATTAGCGAGAGAAATTCTGTCAATGATGGAGGTAATCGGAAAAGCCACATATAACGAGAAATAATCGAAAGAACAGTTAGACGATCAACTTGAATTGCGAATCTCGTCGAAAAAGCGGCTCATGGTTCTGGGGTTTGGTCAGCAAGGAAATATAGTTTCTGGAGAGGAACAGACAGATTTAAAATATATCTAAAGGAAGACTGCTTTTTATTGGAAGGCGACCAGCAATACCTTTCGTGAAACAAAAAGAGAAAGGGAGAGAAAAGGATGGACTCAGAATATTTAAAAAAGAAAACTATTTTATGCTGGAGGATGATCAGCAATACCTCTCATGAAATAAAATAAGATATTTCAGGGAGAGAAAGGATTTTTTTATTTATGCTCATAACAACATACAATAAACAAAACATACAAAACGATTGCTCCTCCAGCGTACTTCTTTATCACATGATTTACGAACCCCTTTGTTTAGCTCTTTCGTATTTAAGTTGATTTTTTCTCGCCTGTAATTATACTGAAGATGACTTTAGCCAGAGTCGAAGTGTTATTTAATTTAATTTAATGGACTTGTCGTAATGGAATTGCCTAAATTAGAATTGTCTTAATGGAATGGTCTCAATGGATTTGTCTTAATTGGAATTGTCTTTTCATACTTCATAATCATACTTGACTTTCGTAAACGTAAGCGTGTTTGATTTCCATAAACGTAAACTTGTTAGACTTTCGTAAACGTAAAAGTGTTTGATTTTCGTAAACATAATCATACTTGACTCTCATAAATGTAAGCGGGTTTGATTTTTATAAACGTAAATTTGTTTCACTTTCGTAAACGTAAACGTGTTTTACTTCCGTGAAAACGTAGAATTGTTTGACTTTTGTAAACGTAAGCGTGTTTGATTTCCATAAACGTAAACGTGTATGACTTTCGTCAACGTAAACGTGTTTGACTTTCGTAAACATAATCATACTTGACTCTCGTAAATGTAAGCGTGTTTGATTTTTATAAACGTAAATTTGTTTCACTTTCGTAAACGTAAACGTGTTTTTCCTAAAGGCCTAAACTGTACTCATTTTACTTATCTACGGCTAACGGAGGTTCCCCTTTCATCCTATACTCCTGCTACCATTTTGAAATGCTTCATACGTCTATATTCGATTATTGAAGATAAAATGATGCGAAGAAAAGAGCGGAAAATTTTAAGAAATTGTTCGAAAAGTTTTGGAAACATATTGTAGGCTTTATGGGATCGTTTCAGGAATCATTTTTTATCTATGCTCATAACAACTTACAGTAAACATAATATTCAAAACGATACCACAGAGAGCATGGAAGTGCATCGCAACCCTGTGGCCATTTACTGTTAACTAGAAGTCTTTCCTAAAATGGAGGCAGATAAGGCAGGTTGAGGATAAAGATGTTGGGGTTTGCAGGCAGAGCTTGTGTTTGAAAAGAAAGGAGTTAATAGAAAGCAAATCAATTGTAGGTGGTTAACTTAAAATATCTTAAATAGAAGACTATTTTATGTGGGAGAATGATCAGCAAAATTTAGTATGAAACTAAACGTGAAGTAAATGTGCTTTGGTTGGTCTCATGACGATGATCATGATTATAATGATGATCGAAAGGAGCCGATGAACGTGTCATTATTATTATAATGATTTCAATAAAAGTGATGAGTATTATTGTTATGATGATATCGCGAAGTCGACTGTGAGGGAGAGCAAAACTGATAATGTCAGCTGACAAATGACAGCAAAAGAACTATCAAACTGGCGTCAGTTGTATGACGATGGCTAACGAAGTTTCTGATGTCATATTTTGATTTGATACAGAAAAGGGGCGGCAAACGTGACGGCGACAGGTTAGAGTGACAACTGTGAGATGTCCCAGGCCTTAGAATTCACATGAAGAAAATGAAGGGGGGAGGGAGGGGGCTGTTAATAATACCTTTAAACATATACATCTGAATTCCCACCTTGAAAGACACAAAAAACAAATCTGAAGTCACACTCCAATAAAGATAGACACAAAATTAGCGATTCAAAAATGTGGGAAAGTTTTATTGATCGAGTTCAAGAAAGAATACTTCAAAAGCTAGAATTTCGTTCCCAGTTCTTTGTCGCTCTGTTTCCTTTCAAGCATATCAAAAAGAGCGTATTTCACTGTATCTATCTGGTAGTTATGTTTCGAATTACATCGAGGAGTTGAAATCACGGGAAATTTTACCAGGTCAAGAATTTTCTTTCTCTTATTCGAAGGCTGTTAATATCAAAATTGAAACTACAAAAAGCCTTCGCTGAAATGCAGATTGGAAATCATGGCAGATGAGATTGAAAGAACAGTAAAAAGGTTTTTGCAGGATTTTCAAAATGTGCTAGGCAAAGTTTGCAATCGCTGTATGAAATAAAACACAGTATTTTAAGCAGAAAGAGCAGGACAATTTTCTGCGAGTCATCCTACAGCATAATTGTTTTGTGCGTCCATTGTTTTTTAGACGATGATGGTA